GTACTTTTGTTCTGTCTGGAACAGCCCTTAGTTCTACAAATCTAGTACAAGATCTGCAATCCAGAGGAAAAGCTGAAGATGTGCTTGAAATAAAAAGAGAAGGATCTGCTTAAAGGTTATGAACAGGAAGAAAGTACAGTCGATCAGACATCAGTAGTATTTGGGCTCTAAAACTAAGAAGAGAGTGAGAGGGAGCAGTAGAACACATTTGAAGTAGACAGACCAAACACAGCCAGATATTGTCATGAAGCGAACCAAGATTAAATGATTGCAGCAAAAACAAATATTCTTGTCACATCACAAAAATGAACAAGTTTTAAGTTCTCATGAACTAGGACTGATTATTTCAAACACACGCATCTCCTTCTTTATGCATCTGAAGAAACATGCTACTGTCCATGATATCTTGTGCTTAATAACACTTCCTAGTCTTTAAGGTACCATGAGACTATTTGTTGCTTTTTGCTACTACTACTGTACAACCACCTCTTTGGAAATTTCTGTGAGGTGAAAAGGGTGTTGTTGCAGGAAAGATTGCAACAAACAGTTAAAAAAAACCTTTGCAATGTGCCACCAAAGGGAATGGCTGCAGGTTTGGATTCCTGCAGGAGATGCTAGGTTCGGAGGTCAACTAGAAACGGCGGGCCCCTTCTTGCCACGTACAATTTTAAATGGCATCTGCTGTAGCAAACTCCCTGAGATTTCCAAGTCTAGCAACACTGTTTACTTCTGCCAGCAGAAGCAGTTCCTCTGGAACAGAAATCAATGCCGGCTTTGTTTCCATTACAGGAGGCCCACACTCTATTTGAAGGCAACACCCAGCACAGACTGTGGAAGGTGGACTCTGCTATTCTCAGGAAACATGTCTCCTTTAAGAACAAAAGGGAACAATATTACTGAGTCAGAGGACCAGGCATTTTGGAGGCCCAGAATGGAAAAGCAGCTCCTCCCAGGCATTCAGCTGCACTGGCAACAACAAGGGCTGCAGAATCTGTCCATTTCCAGAGGGAATACCCTTGACTGCTTCTAACCTTTCTTCCTTCCCTTGCTCAGTCACCCACCCACTTGCACATCATTTTTTTTAAAGATCAGCTTCATTTGAAGGAATAGGCTTTTGGATATTTCCTTGCCCAAAGTGCCAAACCAAAAATAAGATAGGATGAGAAACAGTGACTCCTACACATACGCGTGCACACACACACACTCTCCTGGCACCTCTGTGATGCAGCTTGGCCAATGGTATGTCAGAAATGCTGGCACAAGGTACATGTTTACTCCACTAGAGAGCCTGTATCTATTCTTTAATAAAAACTTCAGACCAAGAGGGAGAAGTAGAGTCTTTTGACTGATTGTTTTCCCCTTCAAAATAGACTGTACTACCTTTACACATTTGATTTGCTAAAAGCAAACTATTCATTATACATTCCAGGTGAAGGCAATGAGAAGCATAAAATGGCAGGCACTGCTTTCCTGTTAAAACATACTGAATTTGTTTTGGATAAACTTTTTTTAGAATACTGCACTACAGTACAGGCTCCCTATGTACAGCCACCTACTCTGCCCCATTACTTCCAAGCAACTTTGATGTAACGAATGAAAGGGTGAGAACAATACCATAGATTATGGGTTAGGACATAGATGATATCTATGTTCTTGGTTATACCGTACACCACAGAATCAACGGCCTTTACAGAGGCAACTATTTAAAAAGACAGAAACACTTGAATTGTGGGTTTATTGTAAGAAACCAAGAATTTCTTGATCAAGAAGAGAATCATCAATGAGTAAACGCAGAAGCCAACCAAGAAACTACAATGTCTTTGAAATGCAGAAAGCTAGAATATTTCAACCACACAATAAGTGAAGTCTAGATTGTCACATCTGGCATCTGAATTTGAATCCAGAGAAGAAACAATGGCGTACCAAGGTGGGAATGTAACTCTGTCAAGCTGTATTCCTCACCTGCCACTCAAATTTCAGGCCAGCTTTGGCCCAGCTGCAAATATTTCCAGCCTAGCAAAGTGCTGTTTCCAAGCATTATAATTCACATTTTCTACTGGGCAATGGTCAGTGTCAGAGACAGAATGCTGCAATCCTATGCAAATGTATTTAGGGGAAAGTTCTATTCAAATGGGTGGGACTTATTCTGCTATATTCATTATGGCTGCAGTCTGATTCAAATTTAGGTCAGATTAAACCCACTCAGCCAGTAGGTTAGGTATATGTCATCCTGCATAGGGATAACGCAGCACAGAACCTTCCAAACTCACAAAGAAAATTGACTACCCACCCGCACACTCTTCCACAGAGATTTATACTCTAGCCCTGAAACTAATATGTTCTTGAGTGTTATGTCCCACCACCAAACCCTCAGTAAACTAAGTATAGACCATGATACATAATTTAAAATCTTGGACAGGTAAATATGGCTCTCCTATAGTTTGCAAGTTTAAAACTGGACTTTGCACCTTTAAGGTTGGGTTGCAGCCCTTTCTAGCCAGTGCCAGCAAATTCCATAGCATCCAGCTTTCAGCTTTGTTTGTTCCGGAGATCCTGGATACAGCTTTCCAGAACTGCCTCCAGGTCTGATTGGCCACTTTAGTTCTGCACTTTGTTTTTCATTCTTCCCTTGCATTTGCTTAACTCATCCACCCTTTGCATCTCCTCTTGCTAGACGACCTGCCTGTTCCATTCTCTTCTGCCTGGAACACACAAAGACTTATGCTCAAAATACATGCTCTCTCCTAACCACCAAGGACAGAGAGAAATCATGCAAAAGGACTGTCTCCCTTGATGCAAATGTTTTCAGTCCATTATCAGATCAGCCTTCCTCAACATGATGCTCTCCCAGATGTTTTGGGCTATAATTTCCATCAGCCAGCATGTACATTGGTGAGGAGTGAGGAAGGATAATCAGAAACTACCTGGTTTAAGAAGCCCACATTAAATAGGTAACTAAGAAGTGCTATTAGTTAGCTGTGCTTTTACTGGTCAGCTCTGATTGCTGCAAAAAAAAAGACTTCTGTGATTGTAATGCCATGCCATTACACAAACCATGTTCACAGAAACCAAAGACAACAGCATTAGGGAACTCGGTTGTTCAAAGGCCTTGCTTCCATAATGTGAACTCGGTTGTTCAAAGGCCTTGCTTCCATGTTTATTTTGCATTTCAAAGTTTCAACTACTGGTTTCTAAAAGTGGGAAAAAATTGTTACCTGCAGATGGAAGGCTGACAAAAGTAAGTCAACTTGCTTCTAGAGAGAGCCTGCACAGTCTAGTGGTTAGTGTGTTCAAGGACTGTGGATGCCAAGGGCCAAACTCATACTTGGCTTCCTGGGTGGCTTTGGTGCAGCTGCTCCCCCTCTGCCTAGCCTGCCTCACAGGATGGTTGTGAGGACAAAAATGGCAAGATGGAGGATGTATGCCCTGGGCTCCTTGGAGGAGATGTAAGGCATATATACAATTGATAACTAATAATTTTTAAAAAAGAATTGTAAGCACATTTTAAAGTCATCTATTTCTCACATAATCAAATTTTCCATCTTGTTATGCCATGCACTCTGGCCCAACACATTTTGCAAGTTCCTGAAGTAATATAAAAACCTGCCAAATAGGATTTAGGGGCAAAAATAGCACAATCACAATGTCTTTCAAGTCTCTGAAATCTGTCTCCTGTACACATTGTTAAACCTCACCTAAGCAAACATGTCTGTCTCAAATTTATTAATCTAAAATTTGGATTTCATGTTGCTAAATTCTTAATCTCAGCACTGGAAGGAACCAAACACATCACAGGAAAGCAATTCACTCCTTGTAGAAAGAGCTGATAAGGAAAGCACTCCTCCCCATGCATATAAATTTAAAATATTTTTTAAAATTTCCACATTTTTGTGACTTGTGCAAAAAAAACAGCATGCCCCAGATTACAGAGTTTATGAGAAGTTGTTGTGATCAATATTGCAAAACCTGGATGCACAGAAGTTTGTGGGCGAAAAAGAGGGTTTGTATTTTAAAAAATAAAAATAAATTAAGCGTATTAATCTATCCCATCAGACTTGAGTGAGACAGGTAAACTTTCGTCCTAGCCTTTTGTTTGCAAGACCTGAGCAGGGTTGTTGACCGCAGGTCCTTTGGGAAGTCATAGACAGCAATTTGACAGCCCATAATCACAGCAATATAGTTACAGTTTCACGGAAAGAGAACCGGGGGGGTCGGCGGGCGGGAATCACACCCTGAGAAAGGAATTTCAACCTCCCACGTGGATTCTTAAATCAAAAGGCGCTCTTAACCCACACAGGGCACCAGAAGTCTGGGCAAATTCCCCCTGCAAGCAAAACAAACGTAACCTTCCCGCACCCTC